TTTTAATGTTCCATAGACGCATAGTTTGAGAACTACTTTTCTGAAGCAATGGTCCTTTAGCATTTTTTAAGTTGTTTCACCTTTTGAAGCAAGGGTGATTCCTTTTCATTCTAAATACCTACTCCAGGTCCCACCTACCTCCATGAGATTCTAATGGTATATGCTCTTTTTATGTGACTTTATATGGATCAATTATTCTGAGCTTCAAAAGCAGATTTTCTATAACTGTTCCTTTTGGGTTCCAAAATTAAATTACTTTTCCGTGTTTAGGTTATTTCCTGATACTTTTATTAAATTATAAAGTACAATGCACAAAAGGTACCACACAACTGAGTAAATTTTCTAACTCTTGCTAAGAAGTCCTCTTTTACTGAAACTTATCAGGCATCATGCATCATTATCATTTAAAGAAATTTATCTAAACAACAAAACACAAGCATAATTTCCAACAAGGGAATAAAAGAACTGCTTCAGCATAAATTTAGAGCCTCTTTTCTAATGTTCTGTTTGGTTGTTTAAGCAGAGGGAAGAAATGTTGCAAAGTGGCCTGAAATATGGTGTCTGGAACCAGATAGCAAAGGTTAGAAGTCCAGCCATGTTACTTAAAAGTCTATGATTCTGAGCAAAGTGATTACCTATTTATAGCTCAGTCTTCTCATATATGTAACCATTGTATCAAAAGGATCCATAATTGTATCAGAAAATCCTAGGGCTATTCTGAATATTGAAGTATATTATATAAATAAATATTCAACATGCTATCTGGCAAATAAGATCTTAATCAATGCCACTCATTATGATTATGACAAATATTTATTCACTAAATAGTATTTGAGTAACTACATGCTCTGTGATAGGGATACAATGATGGGCAAAACAGAAACAGCCTGTCCACTGGGCAACTGTAATTAGAGACAAACAATAAAAGAAATACAGGTATGAATATATGGTTATAAGCACAATAAGAAATTGAAGAGTAAGTAGAGAGCAGTTACTCAAAGGACATAAAACAAGCTTACACAAATCAAAAAATTTTTAGATGAAATTTTTGCCTGGGGGAATCAATGAATGTTTGTCTGATAAAGGTACAGGACTTTTATTCAAGGTATCTCACAGGTGCATAAGGAAAAACTGAGGAAAGGGTGGGTTAAGGGAAGGAGAACCAGTATACAAAGAGAGGAAACAAGTTTGTGAGGCCCAAAGGCAGAAAAAACGACAAAGAAGGGCATTGAGTCTGGAAGACAGTGGGTGAGGGGGAGATTGGCTAACGAAGGACGTGTTCAGCAGGGAAGTAAGGGAGAGTTCGTGCAGGGCCTACCTGTCCACAGTATGGATTGTTGTAAAAGAGGCGTGGATTTTTTTTTTTTTTTTGCGGGGGGAGGCGGGTAGAGAGCCATGGATGTAGCAAAGTGGTTCAGATTTTTATTTTTATGATTTCGTTAACTCTAGTGTGGAGAATGTATTACAGGTGGCACAATTAATGAGGAAACATGATAGAGGTGGCAGCTGCAGAAGTTGAGGTAAAAGAGGACAGTATTTTAGAATTAGGTGCAGATGATGAAGATGAAGAGATGTAGGATGGTTATAGTGGGGATGTTTCTCAAGCAAAAGTGATGGGGCTTGGTGGAATATTAAAAATGATGGGAAAGAGGAAATTGGCAAATATGACCCTGGATTTCTGGTTTGCACAATCTAATGTGTAGAGTGCTATCCTCTGAGACACAGATGAAAGACTTGAGCAAGAAAAAGGGGAGATTATGAGCTCAATTTTCTACACGTTGTATTTATATTGCCTCTGTGATATCCACCAGCGAGGTCAAATAGAGAGGCGGATGTGTGAGACCAGAGGTTGGGGGGGAGGTCTAGGTTTTGAGATGCAAATCTAGAAAGAGTTTATGGATTGTAACTGAAATCATGGAATTCGATGACTGCACTCTGTGAGAATTTAGAAAGCTAAAAAAGAAAGCAGTTAAACATGACATCTTTCCCCCTACTCACATCTCCACATACTGTAAGAATATACATATTTCTCTTTGGTTTCTTAGTTTATCACATATAGAATTTTGGACAAAAATATCCACACTGAAAATATTTCCTAGTCTGAATATCTAGAAAATCATGTACTTTCCAACAACTAAGTTCAGATAGTAGAGAAAACAAGTGATTAATAGCATAGGTCAGGTGCCTATTACTATAAAAGTTAGACTTCTTAATGGTATAATGGTTAAGGTATTAGATCACTGATGTTTGTTTATGTATATAGTAGCATGGGATAAGACAAAGGCTGGGTCTGGGCAGTGAATCAGTTTACCACCTTGATGTTTCAACTCCATGGTCATATGACCTTTGAACAGCTTTTCCCTGGGCATCCTCCAGCTGCTGTTTGAACAACAAGTTAAACCAACTGAGCTGTTTATGCTTGTCTAAAACAATGTTCCTAACAAGTGTGAGACCAGATACATAAAGAGAAGATCAGAAAATGATGAAAGAGAACAAAAAAGAGGCCAACTCTTGCTTTATCTATGAAGATTAATTTAGCATAGAAGTCAGAATTGATAAAACATATTGTTAAATATATTGTGACATCTCCATGTGATGGTACAATAATGATCCAAGTAATCAAAATGATCAGCAGGGTTTATATAGTTTATACACTCAAGGATCATTATAAACATTATGTAGATTTCTTGCATGTGTTATGATAGAAACAAAAATAAATCCACATGACTGATTATGTTGAATTTTATCTTCCATTCAGTATTTAACTTTGGAAATGTTATCACTTTTGTGAAATGAGCCACATTATTATCACATATTAAAATAATATATATTGATAATGATTAATTACTAAGTTTAGTATTGTGGTTTCAATCAATCATAAGCACAGAGCCAATGCTCTATGAAGGTTTAAGAACATACAGCATCCCTGAGAATTTGCAAGAGCTCATAGGAAACCCTCCTTCCAATAGTAAAGATGAGTTAAGGTGGTACTTGGCTTATTTTCAAAATTCTAGGCACTTATAACTCTTCGTGAATAAAAACACTGATGCATAGTAAAAAATGAGGAACTGGGAGTTAAATCTGATGGATATTTTGCCTAACTGAAAAATTAGTGATTGGTTTTATTTTTAACTTAGTAATATTTTTTATGTCAATACTTCATTAATATTTTTAAATTCTCCAACTTACATGAAAGTCTTCAGAAATTCGTTATGCTAAATATGCCTCATTTATTTAAATATTTATTTGTAATAAATAATGTTATTTTTATGGCCAAACATTAATATTTCAGGTATTTGAAAGCTTTACAAAATTGAAAAACATTAATCTTTGTTTTTCCTGAATTGTCTGGGTCATAATAATATCAATTTCAATAAAGTAATAATCAGTAAATATTTAACCTAATATGTTATGTTTTAAACATATAAAGTGAATTGCTAAATGTTTACAAATGATTTCGCAAAACTGAAAAAAAAAAGGTCCTATATTTATTCTTAATTGAATAAATTAAGGGAGTAAAACCCAACATATTTTATTAAAAAACAAAGGATAGGTCTAAAACTACAGATAACTAGAGAACACATTTACTCAAATAACTTCATGGTATTAATGGTAGCCCACATTATAACCTTTTTGGTAAAATATTTTACTTAATTGAGTAATAGATAAATATATTTAGGTTTCCTATATATGGAAATAACTTTTACATAGTTGAAAATTGCAAATTAAACTTCTCCCTCTTTGAAATAATTCTTACATTATATTAAATGTTCTCACATATTATGTGATTATTTTCAAGTCTCTTAAGATTCAAATATAAAGCCATATAATCCATACAATTGAACATTTTAATAATTCTTTTTTTCTATCTCTAACTTCACATTTGTCATCATAATTAAAGAGCACCTATATTCAAGCTTGTGTGCTATGTGTTCTTTTTGTGACTTAACAAATTCACAAGAAGCTGATTCAATCAACCACGTTTAAAAAGTTGCTTGTTTCTTATTTGCTGTTGAGAGGTAATTAAGCTTTATTCACATATCCATTATCATTTTCCTATGTTCCTCCTATATTTCTTCTTCAATAATGTGTGCTGATATCATAGACATTTAAATGCAGATCTTTTCATAGTCTCACTACATGCCAAACTGGTAATGATCTGGTGCAGAATAATGAGTCATTCTCTAAAAAATGTAAAACTCAGGAGATTTACATTTGTGAAGACTTTCTATAAGCCTTAAAAGTAGGAGAACTCTACTCAAAGAGGTGTATTATTAGAAATAAACAAGAAATAATGTCAACCTGCTTACTAAGGATACACAATCCCACACTGAGCCAACAAGTCAGGGAAGCCGAATGCGCAGGGACTCAGCAACAGTTGATTCTCCGACTTCGAACAAGGAAAAGGGGAAGACAAAGTCAGATAAGAAAGGGGAGTTGGGATAGAGAATGATGACGCTGTGTTTCATGGAGAAAAGAGAGAAGATAACGCAGCTGTCCAGTGGCTTCCCTTTTGGCCACCCTCATTCCTCCTGGAATATGGCTTCAAGGCACAGGGATTCCAGATAACGTGCTAAGTGAGTTTCTAGGCCAGCATATGAAATGCATTTGAATGGCATTTAAAGCAAGTTTCACCTCACATCAGACAATGGGAAGGCTGATGTAATTTAATAATAGATGATGACAGAAGAATATTGTAATCTCAGAAATGTGAGAAGCGCTCCACCTGGAGATTCACCAAGGTGCATCGATGTTCAACTTGTGATCACAACTCTGAAAACTTACAAAAAGAAAAGCAATATGCATGAGCCGATAGAAATTAATGAGCAAACTTTTAAACGAGATCATAACTTGAGTAATAAAAACTGGGCTGGTATCTCTTAACCAAAAATTTCAACCTGACACCTTTCAGACTTAGTAATTACCAGAGCACCTGCTGGGTGAGAGGGAAACGACTGGAAATGTGGAGATGTTGGGATGCCCCAGGAGACTTACTGTACCTGTGTCCACATCCTTCACCTGTTGCCTGGCTGGAGTTGGCCGGCTCCACTTTGAGCTCTTGCAGGACCAGCGCTTTTTCGTGTGGTCCAGGGAAGTCCATGCCAGGCACTTCCTCCTCCTCTAGGGACTCAACGTAGAAGAGAGTCCGGGCGGGCTGCTGGGTGCCCTGCCCGGGCGCCCCTGGCTGCAGCCTCGTGGCCACTGGCAGCAGGGTGCCATTCAGTGGGTTGAAGGAAGTAGAGGAAGAGGATGGGGAGGAAGACGAAGAGGAGGAAGAAGAGGAAGGCTTCTTCCAGAAAGTGCTCACGCCGCCTTTCTCTTGGCTTTTGAGAAGGCGGCTCTGGCTAGGTCCCCAGTGCTCAAAGCTGCCACTGCCATCCTGTTGCAGGCAGCCGCCCCCCGCCGGGCCGCCTGGGGACGGGGACGGGTGGCTGAAGAGTTTCCAGCGGAGTCGCAGGATGTGCTTCACATCAAAGTCTTTTCGTCCAGAGCCCGACATGCTTGACACCCAGAAGGCAAAGGGACCTCAGCTGGCGCAGGAGTAGACGAGCCAGCTAGTAGGGGAAGCCAGAGGAGCCCGGGGTTGGAGAAGGAGGCGAGATGCGCCTTCTGCACTCGGGGAGCAGACGGGGTGAGGCGGGCGTCCTGCCAGGCGACAACCAGAGCGCGGACGGCAGAGCCACGCGGCTGCGCTGCGCTGCGATCAGGTCCGCAGGACCTGCGCGTGGCGAGCCCACCAGCCGGGTGCAGAGGCAGGAGTGGGACGCCGAGGTTTGAGAATCTTCGATCCCCGCGCGCGGGAGGCCGGTGGTCACCGTGGGAGGGATGAAACTGGTGCTGGAGATGCGCGAGGGAGGGAGGTCTGCGAGCTCCGGAGCTCGGGAGGCGGAGGTAGCTGGATACACCTCCCTGGGATGTGCCCGTGGCACAGCCTCAGTCGGGAAGGTGTCAGCTCTCCTGTCCTTGCAGCTGAGTTCAGTGACTGGAGAGCGGGGAGAGAGAGAGACAGAGAGAGAGAGAGAGAGAGAGAGAGAGAGAGAGAGAGAGAGAGAGAGCCCCAAGTCGCGAAGAAGCGCTCCCCGCCCCAGCTTTCTCCGTGCACCTGCGTCCCTGTCCCTGGCCTCTCCGAGGACGCTCTGAGAGCTTGCCGGATATTTCTGAGAACGTCAAATGCCTTTTGCAAGGCGAGAAGGGATGGTTTTATATAGTCAGTTTGTAAAAGAGAAATATAAATATTCCAGAAAATATAGGGAGGCAAAAGGAAAAGCTGTCAAGGTCCTCACAGTACAATTTTCTCTCTGCCTCAGCGCCTCCTCCTCCCCAGTAAGTGACGCAGATGTGCACTGGGGCCTATACGGAGAGATGGAGGGAGGGAGGGAAGGCTTCAATCTTCTCTATGCAAGTGAAGCTGCTGCTCTTATTGTCCCTTTGTGGGGGTCCTGTCACCTTTTGTCATCCTCCTTCCTCACTACATTATTGTAAAGCAAACAGGCATTATGCTTTAGCATCAGTAAACATCAAGCATGAATCATGGCAGCGTAAACTTAATAGGCTGCCATTGGTTTGCAGGTTGCAGGTTAATGGCTTGAGTTATTTAATAAACTGCATCCTTTAACCTTTAGCCTTAGTTTCTCTGTAGTGAGACACAGATGGACCAGGGATGCTGGCGTCAAAGGGTGATGATGCCACCATTTTCACACTTACACTGTGATTCTGTCATTAATGCAGTCAGGCAGTGTTCTGCCCTGGGGGCCAGAGGCACAAAGTAGAAATCTGAAGATGGGCATCAGAGTGCAGGGGACGAGGTTTACCAAATCAGTGCGTTTCGTGTGTGGCCTTGAAATGAAAACTGTTCTCAGTCTACACCAGGAAGTGGAATAAAATGATAAAAGAAAATTTCAAGGCATAACCTTGTAGTACATAAATCATGATATAAATGCATGAAAGAGGTTATGCAATAAACACATCAACTAGTCTCCTTATTTCAGAGAAATACTTTCCAAAACCTCCAGTGGATGCCTGAAACCTTGGATACTGCCAAACCTTATATATACTGTTTTTTCCTATACACACATACCTTTCATTTCAAGGAAGCACTTTATGGCTTCTTGTTGGCATATCCAAATTGCCAGCATCACAACTCTTGTGCTTTGGGGCCATTATTAAGTAAAATAAAGATCACTTGAACACAAGCACTGTGATACCACGACAGTGGACCTGTTACTGAGATGGCTACTAAGTGACTAGCAGGCAGGTAGCAAACAGAGGCTGGATAAGCTGGAAGAATGGATGATTTGCGCCCTGGGCAGGACTGAGCATAACAGTGTGAGATTTCATCATGCTACTCAGAATGGTGCACAATTTACAACTTATGAATTATTTATTTCTGGAATTTTCCATTTAATATTTTTGGACTGGGGTTGAACACGAGAAACTGAAGCCATGGAAAGCAAAACTGTGGATAGTGGGGGACTAGTGTGTGCATATTCAAAGGCAACTACCCTAAAAATCTCCTCTTTGGACAAGGGGAGATGCGTTTTCCCTTGTATCTAAATTTAGAATGATGAGGATTGTGATCCCTTTCTAGTTATGACTACTTGGAGATTTTCATCTTTTCCTTTAATGAGCCACTAAAATAGAACCCAGTTCCCTTTGCTGAAGGCAAAAAGGGGTCAGAGAATCAGTGTGTTCCCTCGCTGAGCCAAGAATATGGTGGTTGTCCATTCATGAAATTCACAGCTTCAGCAACCCCCAGAAGGGCACAGGTATCAAATATTAACGTGCAGTTACATTACTGTTCTGTTACCATGTTGTTTCAGGGAACTTAAATAGAAACCAAAGCTAACTTTGAAGTACTTCCTAGACAAAGTTGGATATTTTAATAAAACAAGAAATTAGGCACACAAAATCCCTACCTTCAGGGAAAGAAAAGTCACTATTGTGCATTTTAAATATTGATTTATGCCAAAGCAGCTGGACTGCAATCCCTTGTGCTTTGATTTTTCTTTCAGTGTTCAGTGTTAAAAACAAACAAACAAAGAAGCCCTTTAAAGCAAACAATAGTGACATATCATTTTTATCCAAGAACTGAATCAAATAAGTATTTCTTCAGGGAAGAAAACAACATATGAAATTACACATCACTAGCAGGACAGAGAAAACTTACCATCAGAGGTTATGTAGAAATTTGAAGGGCATGTAATTAAATGCATTCTATAGTAGCTGGTGCTTTGTGAATTTTCTAACTTTGCATACTTTTAATTTTATTAAAGTAATATAAAATAAATAATACAACTATGTTACATCGACATTTTCACCCATAATTAAAAATAAAAAACCATGCAAAACTGGTAATGTAAAATTTGTTGTTGTTATCCTAAAATTTATTTTGTATTCCCCTTTTACTCTGCAATGCTAATATTATTATTATGCAGCTTAAAAGTTATCTGTTTGCCCAGAATTAAATCCAGGCATATACAGGCAGTTAGTCTTTGACAATGGAAGCAAGAATTTATATTGGGGTAAAGATAGTCTATTTAATAAATGGTGCTGGGAAAGTTGGACTAACAATGCAAAAAAATGAAATTGGATCACCTCCTTACGCCATATACAAGAACAAATTCAAAATGGATTAAAGACTTAAACATAAGACCTGAAACCATAGAACTCCTAGAAGAAAATATAGGGTCTAAATTTGCAGACATTACCCTGAGCAATATTTTTACTGATACATCCCCACAGGCAAGGGAAGTAGAAGAACAAATGAACATATGGGACTACATTAAACTTAAAAGTTTTTTCACAACAAAGGAAACCATCAATAAAACAAAAAGGAAGCCTACTGAATGAGAGAATATATTTGTAAATTATATATCTGATAAGGGGTAATATCCAAAATTTATTTAACACTCATGCAACTCAACACCAAAAATACAAACAACCCAATAAATAAATGAGCAGAGGATATGAAGAGACATTTTTCTAAAGAGGACATACAGAAGGCCAACAGGCATATGAAAAAATGCTCAACGTCACTAATCATTAAAGAGATGCAAATAAAAACCAATGAGATACCACTTCACTCCGGTCAGAATGGCTATCATCAATAAATCAACAAACAACAAGTGCTGGCGAGGTTGTGGGGAAAAGGTAACCCTGGTGCACTGTTGGTGGGATTGCAGACTGACTGGTGCAGCCACTATGGAAATCAGTATGCAGGTATCTCAAAAAACTGGAAATGGAACTACCTTATGACCCAGCAATTCCACTCTTAGGTATTTATCCAGAAACACCCAAGACATTAATTCAAAAAAACATATGCACCCCTATGTTCATTGCAGCGCTATTCACAATAGCCAAGACTTGGAAACAACCGAAATGCCCATCGGTAGACAACTGGATTAAGAAACTGTGGTACATTTACACAATGGAGTATTATTCAGCTATAAAGAAGAAGGAAATCATACCATTTGCAACCATATGGATGGAACTAGAGAACATTATGCTAAGTGAAATAAGCCAGGCAGAAAAAGACAAATACCATATGATCTCACTTATATGTGGAATCTAAAAAACTGAATAAATGAGAAATGTAAACAGAAATAGTCTAAGAGACACAGAGGAAACACTGAGGGTTGCTAATTGGAAAGGGGTGGGGATGAAGGAGAAGGGGAAGGGATAAGACAATTCAAATTGGTAACAACAATATGGCCTCAGGGATAGACAAGACAGTCTGGGGAATATAACCAATAATGTTGTAAATATTTTTTAGGAGGACAGTGGGACTCATGTCTTGTTAGGGAGACCACTGCATAGACGGTGTAGAGGCCTGACCACCGAACTGTATTTCTGAAGCTGATGTTGAATAATATTGTATGTCAACTACAATTATATATACATATAGTCACACGATATGGAGTAGAGTGTGGGAATGGAGTCAATGGAATTGTAATAGGTAAGTATGATATCGGGGGTGGGAGGGCAGTAGATTGGGGAGGGGGGTTGTTTCTGTGTGAGGGGTGAAAAGGATAACTATCGCATTGTTCTGTACACCTGAAACTAATAATAAAAAAAATAAAAAAGTTATTTGTTTGAAGGTTGGTAATTTATATAACCGAAAGCAGGTGCAATATTGAGTTTTAGTAAAGGAACATGGATTTAAAATATTAAGGCATATTTAACAGATAAAGACTAATGTCTATTTGTTAGTCTATAGTATTATTAAATATGCTTAAAACACTGTTTCAGCCTACTATTTAAAATAGCTACTTTTCTATATGTATCAATCTGTATACAATATTTACTCTTGCTGAGGAAGATATGCAAATACAATTCATTTAAATTACCAAATAAAATATATAGGATTTAGAAAATAAAGTATGCCTAAAATTATGTTTAAGTGAAATGAATGAAGAAGAAGACATTATATATTTTAACTTTATTGTTACCATACGATAATTTGGAAGGAACAAGAGAAGGAAAAAATGTAATAATAAAGTAATAAAGGGAGGAAGGAGGAAAGAAGGAGAATAAAAGGAGAAAAAAAGAAAAAAAAGAAAGAAAGAAAGAAAGAGAAGGAAGGAAGGAAGGAAGTAAAGGGAATAAAAGGAAGGGAATGAAATGAAAGACGGAATGAAAGGAGGAAGAAAGAAAGAAAGAAGGAAGGAAGGAAGAAAAGTAATTTCCTAAGGTATCATGACTTAGCTTTTTACATTTTAGAAAAACTCCTTGAAAAAATATGCTTTGTGAAATACAGCACCTCATTCATTTATTTACCCAGTATTCAAAATGAAAGAACTTTAATTGAGCGCTTACCATGTACTATGCCAAGAAGTAGCAAATATGAAAGAATCAAGTTCCTTGCAACTGGCTGTAAGACCTAACAAAGGATGATTGCTTGGCCAGTCATAGTTGATAATTGACTTGCGAGTCAATTAAATTAAGATTTAAGATAACCAAATTTATAGGGGAGAGGACATTGACATAATAAACACCACTTTTTTAGAACCCTAATGATCA